AATGCAGGACTTGGCACTTGGACTTAGCAAGTTCACTGAAGACACAAAGCTGGGAGGAACGGCTGATGCCCTGAGTGCTGTGCAGCCCTTCAGAGGGACCTTGACTGGCTGGAGGGACTGGCAGAGCAGAACCTTTTGAAATTCAACAGAGACAAATGCAGGGTCCTGTACCTGGGGAAGAATAACCCCACACACCAGTACAGGCCAGGAGCTGACCTGCTGGGAGGTAGCTCTGAGGAGAAGAATCTGAGGGTCCTGGTGGACAACAATCTGTCCATGAGCCAGCAGTGCCCTTGTGGCCTTGCAGGCCAGTAGTGTCCTGGGGGGCATTAGGAACAGAATTGCCAACAGGTCCAGGGAGGTGATCCTGCCCCTCTGCTCAGCCCTGGTGAGGCCACATCTGGACTGCTGTGTCCAGTTCTGGGCTCATCAGTACAAGGGAGAAATGGAGCTCCTGGAGTGGGTCCAGCAGAGGAGAACAAAGATGATTAAGGGACAGGAATATCTTTCTTAGGATGAAAAACTGGGAGAACTGGGCCTGTTCAGCCTTGAGAAGAGACAACTGAGAGGGGACCTCATCCAGTGTCTGTCAGTATCTGAAAGGAGGGTGCCAAGAGGATGGACCAGGCTCTTCTCAGTGGTTCCAAGCAATAGGACAAAAGGAAATGGGGAGAAGCCAACGCATAGGAAATTGCACCTTTAACATGAGGAAGAGCTTCTTTACTGTGATGGTGACTGAGCATTGAAAGGAGCTTCCCTGGAAGGGAAACCACCTGTTCAGAAACCATCTGGATGCAATACTGAGTAATGGGCTCTAGGGTACCCTGTGTGAGCAGAGAGCTTGGACCAAATGACCTTCCAGCCTCAGGCATTTTGTGATTCCGTGATTCTGAACCCACAGTCTCACACTCTGCTGGCTCAAGGCTAGGTGCTGGCTCAGAGCAAGAAAGTTCACTGTCACCCTGCTTCAGTCTTGTCTTGTGATATTTTTGCAAAATCCATGTAGGTCTTTAGCAATTGTATAGCTCCAGATAGCCTCAGGTCTTCTGTCACACACTACAGCACATACTGCAAGCTGTAACAAAAAGACATCTCATTAACACACGGGTAATGATTTATGGCTAAAATATCTTGTAACAGTGCTTGGCTGTCCTCTAAAATTATCATAGTAGATTCAAGGTTTCTTCATCTTTCCTGATCCTAGTGGTTTTAATGCTCTGAAGTAATAAGTTCTTTCACTGCTTGATGCCTACTGATGATTTTTTTTTTTTTTTTTAGCTACTCACTCAGTTTTTTGTGATTCCTCAGTGTTTTTATTATAAAGATTCCAGTTGGCCCCAGGGTGCTGATGTTCTGGATATTATAATTCTGCTGGTGTAAGTGAACATTGCAAATGTTTACTCAAAATTATATAGATGAGAAACATTGAGTACTTATTTCTCTATACAGAGCACCATCTTCTGACAATTTCTACTGAAATACAAAGAAACAATTACGTGTATCTGTATCTGGTATTATATATCCTAGAATCATTAACTATTTGAGTTTACACTCAAGTAGCTACTGCTATTGTAGGAGCAATCCTCTGTTTCCATCGTGGAGCCTTTCAGACTGCATTTCTGTGGGACAGGACTCAGTGACTATAACCCTGTTTCTTACATGCCTTTCTGAATCTGTTAATAGCCCATCAGTAATGCCCCTTACCTTCTATGCAGTGACTGATACATCTCTTCAGGCAACAGCAATGTGGATTGTGCATGTGCTGTTTTACAATCATCTCTGTGCCTTCTTCAGTATAGGATCTTGGCCTTCATTTCTCCTAAAATTACAGCTCTATTCCATTTCAGTACTTGACACTTCAGCCATCCTACACTCTGATTGTCCCATAACGTGTGTGCTGGTGATTACTGCTTAAAGAGTCTACTGATACTAGTAGGTTTACAATGTTAATAGCACTTTCTATTTCCAATGCCTTTTTCTCTCTAAAACTATTAAGAGTAAATGCTTTGTTCACAGTAACATGCACTCTAATTAATTTGTTGCTACTATATAGTAATTGTAAACATAAAATTTTGAATTTTCTCTCAACTGGAATCTTTGGTTAAAAAAGTTAACCACATCAAGAACAAAATGCTGTGAAATAAACTTTTGACCTCTTTTTTTTTTTTAATTTTGGTTTCAACTTCACTTCTGGTTTTCACACTTTGTTTACTTCACTTCTGGTTTTCTTAGTTTAACTGTCTCTGGTGTTTCCCACTCATTTTTCAGTTGCTGAGAGGGTCAAGGTTCCATCACAATTGTTGTGCATTACTTTGATTTCTATCCAAGTAAATAGAAATAAAATATCCAAGTTATGTTTGTATGCAGCTTCAAGTGCCCATAACACATTCCCTTAAAATCAGATACGTTTGTTAAAATCACAAGATTATTTTTGGCATTGTGGAACGTAGATGATGTTGTTTAGCCCTTGAATTTGTTTTCCACAATTTTAAAATAGTGGAGACATGTATCTAATGTTCTCATTGTCTTTGGTACAAAAGAGTACTGTCACTGTTACTACAGGTAAGGTAAGGTCTATTATCAATAAAGAGTAGGATGCTTACTACTTCCCTTGTTATGCAAGCAAATACTCAAAATTTTGAATCTAATATAGTTAATAATAAAAATAAAAACAGGTAAACTTCACTCAGACAAAACTTAATAATTAATTTACATTGCTTCTTTTAAAAGCCTTTCTGCTGGCAATAATTGTGGTGAGACTTCCCTTATGCACTCTTAAATTTTAATAGCAACATTTATAACGTAGCATTCTTGCTTTTGTTAGATTGTTTACCTTGCCATAATTAAAATTGAAACTGGAACTATTTAGGCTATTTTTCATTTATGAGTTTATCTTGATATACATAAGATCCTGCTTTGTTTATAATTGGAGCTAGTTCATCCCATTTGCAGTTTAGATTGTAAGCCTGTGTGGAAAATATGCCACATTAATTTCTATCCTCCTTGCCATTCTGCAAAGTAGTGGTTCATTCTTGTTTGTTTACTCGTGCATTGAGCATTCCTTCCCATCTGAGTTGCTATAGCAACATTAATCTCTTTCCATGTGTTTAGATAGGGTCAGTAGCCATTTTTCAGTTAAAACATTAGGCAGACTTTTTTTCTCCCAGGCATAGCTCTAAATCACATGAAATTGGGAAAAGCTGTGGCTCACAGGTCCTTACAATGACAAGATGATGCAATATCCCAAACCTTTCTGTAATTTTTCACCTTTTGGCTTAGTGCTATTTTTATAGTACTATTGGGCTGTTCAATTTACCTTGAACTGCAAGTTCACAGCAATGTGGAGCCTTTCCTTTTTTCACAGGCTTTCACATTATTCCTTGATGATTTTCACTGGAATATATGTTCCTTGTCTCAAATAAATTTTTTGGTTTAAATTGCATCTGGAAAATACAATGATAAATGCCTGCATGGTGGTACACTAGGCTATAGCTTTCTTTACTGAATTACCTCAGCCCACTTTGTCAGTGAGTCTAGAATTAGGAAACCACGCTTACTCCCACTTTGCATGATATGTGGGACTAAGATGGGACTGCACCAGTTCTGGTGTAGTCTGTTTGTATCCTAGCCTATTGTCCTGGGTTTAGCTAGGATAGAGTTCATTTTCTCCTGATGTTTCTCACTGATGTTTTGGCTGTTGCTAAGTAGTGTTTACCCTGAGTCAAGGACTTCTTAGTTTCCCATGTTCTGCCAGTGAAGAGCTGCATAAGAAGCTGGGGCCAGGGGGAGCACAGTAGGACAGCTGACACGAGATGGTCAAAGGAATATTTCCTACCACAGAACGCCATAGAGGCTGGGGAAGTTGGCTGGGAGGAGCCGATCACAGCTCAGGGATGGCTGAGTATCATTTAGTGAGTAGTGAGCAAACATCTTGTGCGTCACTTATTTCTCCTGGGTTTTATCTCCCTCTCTCTCTCTCTCTCTTTCATTATTATTGCTACTATTATTATTGTTGTTGTTGTATTTTACTTTGCTTCAGTTATTAAACTTTTCCTAGGTTAACCCCCCAGTTTTTACTTCTTCCTGTTCTGCTTCCCATTGCACTGGGCAGAGAGTGAGTGGCTGTGTGGCATTTAGTTGCCATCTGGAATTAGACCATAGCAAAAATGGTTCATGAATTCTCTAATGTTTTAATTTTATTTTCTCCTAGTGGGGGTATTCACCACAGCACAAATGAAGCAATTATGCACCCATTTGTCTTCATGTTTGGGCAACTAGCTGCCTGCTAATATTCCCTTTTGCATTCAAGCACTCCCTACATGATATTGCTCATGCACCTAAAACCAAATCTATTTAAAGTGTACATAGTGCTGTTTATGTACAGGTGCTTTTTACTTGGCCACAGTACACTCTCTATGCTTCACATGTCTACCAGCTTCTATGGTAATTGCCCCTCAATTTCCTCATTTCCATGTTGTGAAGTTGCTCTATCTTTTTATACCTTGTTTTGTATGATTTTCTTTGGTTTGTTTGCCAGCTGGGTTTGACATTTCTTCCGTTTGTTCCAATGTCAGATCTACTGGGACTACCACAACCTTGACAAGAGTGTGTGCTTGACTATTCCAAGATTGTTACTTCTGTATGTTTCTTTTTGGTAGGCTTTTACATGACCTGCTTTTTTTTTTTTCTTTTTTTTACTCTGCTTTTATTAACCTATGTTCAGGATTTCCTTTCCATGATGGAGAGGCTACCAGATTTCCATTCTGTGTTTGTAGGTAATTTTTATTCTACTTTGGTAGCCAAATAGTTAAAGCTTGATGTATCCGGTCTGAAAGTAAGTATGAAGCTAGGTCATTTCCTTTGGGTTTCTCTTTTAACATCATTAGCAGAGCTTGTGGCTCTGTTGCTTGTGCAGAGTGAAGGCAGACAGCTCTTTTTATTTTTCCCAGCATATCTAATAGAGAATTTTTCATACTTTTGATAAAAGCTGGAGCCATTTGTGAACCACACTGAATAACCTGTGGCACGAAGTCAATAACGGAGCTTATGTCCAGTGAGAGACACATTAACAGGTAAAGTGCACTTCTGTTCTTTCCAGTGGTTAAAAACCCTATAGAGCTAGTGATAAATTCTTGCCTTATTCTACAGAAAACTCTTATTTATAAAAGCCAGCATGTATCCGGTTAGCCTCGTTTGATATATATCCAGTTTATACTTTTCCACTGATTATGTACTTCAGTAGAATATATGTGATATGTACTTTAGTGGAGCATGTGTGATATGGACTACTGCAAAGCAGCCTCTAGTGATTTATACCCAAAGCTAATTGCTTATACTATGCTAAACCTGTTTTTTAATATGGAATACAGTTTTTTTTCCCCTCACAAATCTTAAGGATCTCAAAGCAAAACCATTTTATTTCTGTGTTCTTTAAACAGCACTGTGTAGATTGGTAGTGGCCAGCTGAACATGAATCTGCTTACTGCAATGTGCATCTAAATGCTAGCATTTGAACTAGTGCAGTTTTACTTCTTTTTTTTCTTTCCATTCTGTTTTGTGAGATTTCTTCACTAATTTGATTAGTGGCTTACTAATTTCTGCAAATATGATTCCCACAAAAATGTAAGCAGCTGCAAAAGTGAAACAAATACAATTTTTACATGCATGGACTCTCATATTCAATTCTACCCTTTGCTGATGCCAGTATCACCATTCCTTCTTCTAATACACCTAAAATTATTACTGAATATTTCACTTTAGATTATACCTGAGTTTTGTCATGATGAACTTTGAAGCCTATGTACTTGAGTTTTGTCATGATCAACTTTGAAGCCTATGTTTTGAGTAATGCTGGCTACTTCTTGAGTATATTCCCAAACTTTCAGTTTTTCCATGTACTGGCATGTCATTCATGTATGGTATGACATAACACATTGTGATGGTAATTTCATACATATGTGATACGTTTGATGTGAAAGTCTTGAGGAACATAGAAAAAGAACATTACTTTCTCTCACAGCTTAATGTTTGTTGTTACTAGATCTGGTCTGTTAGTGGAATTGCAAAGAAAGCTCTAGTTAAATCAGTAACAAAATACCCGTCAAATATTCTGCTTAGTGTTACAGGCATACAAACAACGTGAGAGATGGCTATGTTATTTAAGTGTTAAAATCTCACTTTTAGCTTTCTTTCTTTGCTTTTAACCCTGGACAAATAGGATGTTAAAATAATAGGTCTCTGTACTAAGAGCTTGCTTTCAGTAAACTTGTTGATGGTGGATTGGAGTCCTTCCTCTGCCATTAAAATGCAATTTCTATTTTTTCCCATTTTAAATTACAGACACAAAACTTGAGGAAATTCTGTTACCCAAATATCCACTGTTTTTATTTCCTCCGGATTCCTAATAACAAAGCATCAATGACTTGCAGGAATCACTCCACCCTCACCTCCCACTGGTCAGGCCCAATTTCACAAACATCCGTAGCAAAATCTGCGGCTAATTCATTTTGTTTCAACAATGCTGTGCCAATAATTCCCTGGTGTTCCTAAAAGGGATCCTCCCACTCCTGAAGGAACAGGAGAAGGAGACTCCTGAACTTGGCAGCTATTTAATTGCAGGCAGAGATCTTAATACAGATACTTGAACATCCTTTCATGCATATAATGCAGGTAAGTTTTGTCATTTTTCCTCTTTCTTGGGCTATAGCTGGAAAAAATATTTGTTGAAGAGTGGTTATTGATACTACTGTATCAATTAACATCATGGCATTAGTGGTAGTTAAAGTTCTTCCCTTGACCACCCAGGACTAATATTGTTACTGGCCATTTCCATTGGTTATATTGTAATTTTACCACTAGAGCAGGGAAAGTAGACAGCAGAGTCTCCCTAGTCTTTGTTATTGAAAGGAAGAGACGGTGTCTGAGGGCTTCGCTGAGAGGGACCTATTATTTTTTGTAGTTTTCTTTCCTCATGATTTTTTATTTACTTGACAAAATGAGTCAGCAAGGAATTTATGTATTCTATCCCATTTTCTCAAATCTTTGCCTCTTTTTCTCAAATCTTACCATGTTTGCTTCCTGCAGTTTCATTGATGTCCACTAAAGGAAGTTTTTATCATATTGTCCAAGAATATTATGCAGTTACCATTACCATCTCTTTACATAAAGAGCTAATCCCACGCTGAGGACTGTTTTTCCTTTTCTGTTGTTTTTATCGTTATTTTAAATGAAGGCTGTGGATCATTTAAGATGGTATTTCTGAAAATTACAATCTGTAATATCCACAGCGTGTAGACCTTTTATTAGATCCACAGGACTGGGATTTCCTTGTATTCTTTCTTACCTTCATTACCTTGTCTGTTTTCCTTCTCCATACCTGCTGAAGCCAAATTTGCAGCTCTTCCTACTGTAGCTGTGCTTGATTCACAGGTTTGATAATTACTCTTGCTAACTTAAGTCTTGTACCACTGCTAGTTGAAAGCCAGTGGTTCTATTAGATCAGATACATTCCCAGATTCCAATACCAACAATTATCCCGGGATTCACAGTATTTTATCTTTTCATCTCATTCTAGGTGGAATAACCTGCTAATCAAGTCTCTTGTCATGGCTCAGATAACTGTTCTGAGACATCTACCTACTAAATTTCTTACAGGAAATTTTTCCTGCAGTATAGGTGATAATCATACTCCATTCTGAGACTTCTTTACTCGTTAAGGAAAGCTAATCCTTTAGTCTCAAAAGCCCCATTTTAAAAGTTTCTAAATTCAGTGGCCTCAAGTTTTATGTAAACACTCTTGCTAGCTTTGCAGTCAGATCAGCTGCTATTGTTGTAATAATCTCCCACATTTTAGGACCAGCACAACCCAAGCAGGAGTAACCAGTGGGATGCATTCTTTTTTTACCACTGTTTTGGTTTTAACAGCATAACTGGGTGATAAAAGCCTATTTTGTGGTCACTTTAACCTGAATTTTCAGTATAATTTTTTAATATATAATTTTCAGTTGTGTTCTGAGTTTCCCTTATATCCTTGTATGTTGACAGTTGTGTTCTGAGTGAGAGATATTGAAGTAAAAGGGCTTTCTGAGTGTACAGAAATCCATCTGTGCAGTAGAGGTTTCAGGGTGTGTCTTCAAGTTAGTAAGTGACTCTGCAGAAACTATAAGGTAAACCTAGTAATCAGAAATTGAGAATCTACTTTTAAACATCCAGATGCAAAGAGAGACAAAAGCCTGAATGTTCTTATTATCAGTTAGATCAAAACTGATGCACAACAGAGGTAATATTTTGGTAACATTTGCCATTATTTCTACTCATATTTTCCTGATATAGAAGATATACATATATATTTTTCCTTTTCTGTTGCTCACCCCTCATTTTTCATGTATTCATCTAAATATATATGAAGAAGAAGTGGATTTTCAGAGTAAAGTAATTATTCTTTTCCTCTATTTCCTATCATGGTTTAACATTAATGTATGCATGAGTCGTCTGATATGGCATGACAATCAAGTCCTTGTCTGTATCCACGTTATCTGTTGGGAGGAGATCAGTTTACTTAGCTTACCATTATCAGAATAGCCTCTCCTATGAATACTGTGGCAGCACAAAGGATGTTTTAATGACTACCATAGGGATGGCACATAAAAAGAAACAAGATAACTTTTACTGTTCTTGAGGTTATAATGTTTATGGGGAACATCTTATTATGAAATCTTGAGGTACGCATTATTCTGTCTGCCCAATGTCACCCTCTTGTAAAACAGAAAATTTTCAGTTCTAGTGCTGGATTTAATGGAGTAAGGTGAACTCTGTAACAAATTAAATGCAATGACACAATCCAACGTCCAGTCCATGAAAAGACCATGTACTCATGGTGACTTAGACTTAGCTTCATTTTTAGGCCTTAAGGAAATATGTACACACATGCTTTCCCTGAGAGACCTACCACTTTTGAATAGTTCTGTTTACTCGATATATAAATGCAGGTGGAAATCTATTAGGAAAGCAGGTTGTAAGTTTACTCTGGGAAACAATGCATCACACCAGTATTCAGAAAGAGATTTTGTCACATATATGTTTGGAACAAAATGAAGTACTGTATTTCAATAATTTTTGTTCTTGTAAACATATAATTTCAATACACTGTAGATTATCCAATTGGTGTGTGAGAAATTCTTCTGGTCCTGTCACATACAGTAATAAGCATCTTTCTTTGCTAATGTGTTGCCACGGTGTTCCGTCGATAACCTGGGCAGATATGTTCTCCTCCCCCATGTGCACCATACCATGGAATCAGTTTCGTTATAAGACTTGGCCTGGTTCTGGTTACACTTGCTTATAACTGCCAGCTCAGTGGATGTCTTAATGAACTGATTGTCAGCCATGCGTGATCACTGCAGAAATCATCTGTCTTCTTTAGGCTGTGGGATAATTTAGCAATATATCCATCCTCAGACACCATGAAAAATCCTATAATGTCTTCTGCAAATGCCCCATGCCGTGGAGTCACTGCTAGGATTTTTCCTCAATTGGTTAGATAAAAGGCTTTTTTTGCATGCCAAGTACCATAGATACTCAGCAGAAGTAGTTTAAAAAAGATCAGTTTTCTAAATTTGGTTCTGCTTGGTAGTACTGACTATTCAAAGAACCTCAGAGGATGTTCCCATTGAGGAATCTCAGTAGCATTTAATAAGCATGCTTTGCCCGCAGGCAATCTCTGGATCCTTAGGACATTGGCTAATTTCTACTGGAACAGCATTCCTTGTGTGCCAGGTGCAGACAATGAATACCAGGAGAGCAGACTTCTTGCAGTAGGCGGTATCTCAGTTTGCCTGAGATAGGTACTTGAATGAGATTCTCAGTTGCTTCCTGAACATTTTCCATACTAACAAACTCATTTGCTGTCATTGAGTGGTGATATAGAAACAGGACTGCTCTGAGCACCTTATTCAATCAGGGTGAGCTGTTAATCATTCACGATTTATTGTTGACTATAAAAATAAATCAAGGAATTCCATTTAGTATCACTCAGACAGGGTCACGTGTCATTGCATGCAAGCAGAATGTAAACTGTACAGAGGCCATGACACAGGGCTGAGTCAGATAGGGGGATGTCTAGAGTGCAAAGAGTCAGAAAGTTGGAATATGAGCAGAGATCACTTTGTTCCTTCAATTATCATCGTGTGGTGCTGCAACACTGTCCAAAGCCTTGTGGTTCAAGACTCCTCATGAATATCAACTTTCTGGGGAGCCACTTGCCAGTCCTTCTGGCTCTGACCTGCAGCCTTTATCGCCCATTCTGTCTGGGAAGCAGGAAATCATGTTGTGACTTCACTGCCTGCATATGGAAGGGGAAGAACATTGAGGAAGACCTCTGAGGCTTGCTGATTAGTTAAATATTGTGTATGGGTGCTTTCTTCTGTTTCTTGGTGGGAAGATCTGAATTTACTAATATTACTCATAGGAGTTTGACCTTGATTAGCACTTCTTAAGTTTCATTGATTGCATTACTGTTTAATATGTTATGTCACTTTTACACAAAGTTTATACTTAGACATCAGTAAGAAATTAATAAGAAAAACACCCTGAAATCTGGATTTGCAAGGCAAAAGTCTAATAAATTCAAGTTTCAGTGGGAAATGTATGAGAAAATGTTGATCTTCCCTTAACAAGGATAATCTCTGCAGAGTGAGCTATAAACTTTTTTGCAATCTACATACGTTTTAATGATTTTACAACGAATTTATGGAAATTAGGATTAAAGATCATTTATGGAATTAGGGAAATGGGGACTTTAGAGAAGATGCAGGTAGATTAAACAGACATTAGAGCATCTAATCTGAGTCGTTAGAAAGACTGCAGGCAAGTGCCTTACTGTAGCCACAATGTAACTGGCCACAAAATAGAGAAATCTGATTTTTTAATTGCTGAAGTCCTGCATGGTGAAAGAGTTATTTCCTCCAGTCTCTTTAGAACTGCTTCTTGCAAAACGATCACATGCAGACATATCTTGATATCATAACTGGAATCTATCTGGCAAGTCTCCCTGGATTGTTGTCAGGCATCATTGGTGTTAATGTGTAAGGCAGAGGTGTGGCACAAGGCAGATGTTTTTGAAAGCAGAAATTATTTGAGGGACCATTACCTCTTTTGCCTATGTTTATGGTTGTTTGAAAGGTTTGGAGCTTGTGAATGTGTGTCTGCGTTGTATCCAATTGCCTGTAGAAACACATCTACCTTAGAGTGCACAATCATTTGTTTTACAGTAAATATCAAAAAGGAACAAAGCAATTTGACTGTGGTTAAAGACTAACATGCAGAACGTGGTCATAGTGCCATAATGTGATTATTTTTAGTCATTTCACCACAGCAACGAAATCCAATGTCTAAGATCAAGTAAAATAAGTAAATATACTTCCATATTGCTACAGAAAATGGAAGTCAAATTACTTACAGAAATTAAAAATATTTGCCTATTATTGAAATAACCCCTAGTCTGGGGCTACTTTCCTGAAAAAAACCCAAAGCTTTGAAACAGTTTGCATCCAGAGAATAGTAATGTCAAAGATCAGTAGCACCAATTCTGCCTAGAGGGGTTATAGGAAATGGGGTGGGGAGTGGGGGGATGTTTGTTTATTTTGGTTTAGGGTTTTGTTTTTGTTAGTATTTTTCGTTGAGAGAGGACAGGCAACACTTGTGAAAGCAGCATTAAAATTGTGGAAGTACTGTACAGTGAAGTGGAAGAAGTTCTTCCTATTTGTCGTGGACAGGGAAGGGATAACAGGTCTAACTTATCTCAAGGACAATTTATGTTAGACATTGAAAAAGCCTCCAAGTAGTTCAGATAGTCTGAAATTTTCCATCTTTGCTTTTGGTAACTAACGACAGAGGTGCAGAATTCAAACACCTGTTAAGAATGTAATATGTAATACTTGATGTGATCTGAAGGAAGGAGAATGGACAGGATGGCATTTTGACATTATAAAACTTGAAATTCAGTATTACCGGGAAGAAGCTGAATGAGAGGTTTTTCATTCTCATAATTTCCTGTATGATCTAGACATTTTGTAAATAGTATGGAATAGAATGCAAGTATTTAGAAAATATGGCTTTGGATACTATTGTACAAGGGAATAAGTCAATAGCTTTGATTTCTATACAAAATATAATATTCATGCTGTTATATGTTGCGTATGTAGGGAGTTTGTAAACTCCTTTCCTTGTTTCTCAGGTGTTCAGCTGTCTGTGATCCAAGACAAGCGTAACCATCTTTCAGACCTTTGACGAAATTTCTTAATTTGGAACAAGAACTGCAAAGAGGTTGATAAAATGGGCTTCTGCAAGGTAAGAAAGGTTGCAGACAGAGGTAAGACTCTTGACTTGGAGTTAAGCAGCAGTTTAGGGATTCAAGAGAAAAAAACATCATCATGAAAAGAAATAAAATCCTAAGGGAAAAGCAGGGCTCTGGAAGACAGCAATTCAGTCCCAGTGAGGATCCATTCCAGGGGCACTAGAAACTAGCTTGGCTAACAAAGGACTTCTTGGCCAACAAAGATTTTTCCTGTTTCTTGCTTCAGGGCACTGAACATACCAACATTCAGTTTAGTATTTCATTAATTCAAGTTATCAAAAAACGGTAATGTATGGTAACTAATCAGTAACTGCTGAATACTTTTAAGCTGTGTGTATTCAGTTGACAAAGGGCTCTTTGTGCATGGCAAAAGGTGGCTGTCCAACCAAAGCCACTCAGTGAAGGAAGGATTATGTCTACTGTTACAATGTTACCAGGCAGATCCTTGCCTATAAAAGTTATATGGACAAAAATTGGACCTGTATTAAATATGAATATGTATATATTAATATGTATATATGTATAAATATTAAAATGTATTTTAATCAGATTTAAGTGGGAAAAATGTTTTCCAGCCTCACAAAAAGTAATTTTGTTTATATTTTCTCATCAGTTTTCATTTGTAAAATAAAGTCCTGAACATTTTTAAAGCCTTAATGCTCTGTACTACATTTCTTTAAATCAATTTTTCTAACTGTAGTAATAATGTAACTTTAAATGAAACTATCCAGCAAGTAAAGATTAAGTTTTCAGAAACAAGACTGAGATTGTAAAGCTGAAAACTGGCACATCAGTAGTAGGAATCTAGTGACATTAGTTTGTGGCAGTCTGCCTTAGGAGAATAAACAATTAACTCCAAATCAAATCACAGACAATAAGAGTGAAGTTTTGTAATTTTAAAACATGCTTTCAGAATAGACTTTCCTTTTAAACACAAAAAGAAGATTGATGCTTACATTAACTTGATTTGTTCTCATGCTTCATCCAGGAAAAACAAAATGTCCAGCAACTACAATAATTATCATATATAATAATAATAATAACTATAATAATTATCAGCTGTCGCTGAGCGTACAGCATAGTTAAAGGAACACAAAATTCTCAGTTTCTGACAGTATAATAATTCCCTTCATATAGGACAATTCTCATTGACAGAATGGTATCCAAGCTGGCAACATTCCTTTACAGAGTATTATTCTTTTTCAGCCCTGATTAACAGGCAGTTAAACAGAACAGGAGTTCTCCTAGTACCGTAAATCAGAGGTTCTTCAGAGGAGTTCTGATCTATGCTAGGGTTGAATGTCATTGAGGAATCATTACAGAATTCTTGCAATCCTTTCCAGCGTTTTGCCTACCTGGCTCTTATTGGAAAATCCAACTTTCCATCTTTAAATTGAAAAGAAGAAAAAAACAGTTTGTGTGATTTTCTCTGGTCACAACATATTCAGACGGTGAAGTAATCGCTTCAGTTTCTTGTCTTGTTTACTACTTTTGTTAATAAGTATATAAAAATGTTCATTTTTCTTGATATTGTTTAGAAAATTTTGAAGGCATCATGCCATTATTTCACAACAGTTTATCTGTGATGTCAAAGTTAGATTTCTTTGACATTTCTGTGTCAGTAGTTCCAATATCATGTCTCAATTGATGATGTGCTGGCCTGCATCAGATTAAAAAATTCATAGATCTAATGTGTGATTTGTGGGCTGAGGTTTTCTCAACGTAAACTAGTTTTTAGAAGCATAAATAGTTGAAACTTCACCACAAAACCTGAGAGCCCTATTTTTCAAATGCCTTTTTCTGCAATTTCAAAAACTCTTATCACATGATGAATTTGGTAATAAAATATTAAGACATTTTGACACAAGAAGGGAATTGGATAAGTAAATTTAGATAATTAAATACAGGAAAACAATCTGAAATAATTAATTGTGAATACAGTACAGGATGATCTGTATATAACTAACTTTACTGCAGTCCAAAAATTATGATCATGCAAACTACAACTTAAATAACAGAGTTATACTGAGAAGTTTGGTATATGGTCTGTAAGAACAATTACTCAGAGAAGGATTTAAGGTTTAGTTTATTGTGCCAATGCAATCTCTAATTATACTGGAGTGTGCAAGAGAGATTATTCAAACCATGCATTTATAACACCTAAGAGAAGGGAATTAAGTGTGCCTCGATCTACAGAATTAATGTTGACAGAACATTTCAAGGGACCTATGATCATCTTTCAAACATGTAAAAGGTATTTATGCTTCAAATTCTAAAGAAGATGTGTGAATATAATGCAGAAGCAAAGTTTGTCAGGCAAAGTGAAATCAGCTACTGTCTTAATAAAGAGGAGATTGAGTAAACTTTATGAATATATATGTTTTCACATAGAAAATATATCTGATGATGCAGAGCTTCACATCAATTGTAATATCCAAGAAGTATTGTTCTATCTTCAACTAAACAATGTCTGTGAGGGGAAATGGAGCATAGAAGCAGTTAGCCAACAGGTGTAACAAACTTAGGACCACTTGCAATTTTTAATATAAAATTAGAAGTTTCCCTCTTGTACAGGATTTGCTTTGCTTACCTGACCTGATGAGTCACTTTAGAAAACTTTCAACTGGCTAAAATCTCTTAAAATATTTACTCCATAACTCAATAGACGTAGCTCTTTGAGCTGCAGTTGTCATTATCTTCATAAAATCCCACTGATCCCCTGTTGGATAGGGCTGATATGGACTTGTAGCAGAGCTTCAGACAGTCCAGGTGGATGAAACTTATCAGCCATTCTTTACCTGCTTCTGCAACCAGGGATTTGAATTATCCAACAGTTTCCATATTACCAGATCTTTGCTTCTTCTAATCATAGTGTAACAAACTGGTTTGAGAAGGAATTTTAAGTTGTTTATGAGCCTTAAATAGCTCAAAGGTCATAGATTGGTCTCTGTTTAAATCTCTCTTCTGTGAGAAATTTGTGACTAGTAAGTAGAAACAGAAAAAAACCAAAACAGTTTATTTTATCTTGAGCTATTGAATGATCAGGACACTCTGCTTTCAAGACATCTTTACTTAGCATCCAGTCAATGTCTACTTGATACAGGCAATGTCTATACAAAATTTCATGCTTCAAATCTTTGGCCTATAGAACTAAAAATTCCCCCTTGATGGCATCAAAGATTGGCTAAAACTGAGGGTAAGCTGTTTATTAAACCAAATAATTAATCTGAGAGAAGACAGTATTTTTCAAACACCAGCTTTATGAGTCCTGCTAATGTATTTAGGGCAAAACTAGTCACCAGACTTTGGATGAGAAAGTGTTTCTCCTCAGATTGGATTGACTGGCACCTACGTTGTTTCTAGATGATTTTGTACATCTTTGGTTGTGAAGCAGCTTGTTGACCTACATGGTTTTTATATACTCAGGTAATGTGCCGTGGTGATGCCTCAGGTTCTTCTGTTGGCTCATTTTACAGATTTAATCTCTTCAGGCAGAAATTATATATTCTTATCCAAATCATCAGTTAAGATACAAGATATTAGAAGAAAGATTTAGTGATCTTCTCTGATTTCAAATTCCCTACAATTGTAGAGCTATGTGACTGAACAAACTACAGAAGCTATAGAGAAGTTACAGAACTTTGTATTTTATTACATAGATGTAAAATACTGTACTTCCCCAATTTTCCCACTTTTTAATATCAATTTATTTGCTTCAGCTCCTAGCGTGATAAAACCAGATGTCTTTCATTTTCTTTGCTTACTGTATGCAGGCAAGAGAAACTCTGGTAAAAATTGCTCTTCTGTTTCATTTCTGTTTCTTATCGTGATTACCCTGCAATAGCATTGAGACATTGCAATGAGATAACAGAACATCATGAGAGATCTCATAGTTCTCTCTATTTTCTGTTTAAGGCAAAACAGTTGTGCAAGCACTGCATATACTATTTCCTTTTTTTAAAAATCAGTTGAATTTTCTTTAAAGATTCTTACTTTAGTTTTTTTGGTTCCCACTGAAATAATCGGACCAGTGCATTAAGATCAAATCCAGGAAAGCATTTAGGCACACAAGTTAAAATCCAGTACTCCCAGTAACTGCTGTGAATAGATTTCTATATCACAATGACTTTTGATAAACATATAATACTTATTAGCTCTTTATATTCTGCTTGACTGGCAATGCTAAACTACCCTTTCTAAAGTAATCCCCAATCTTATAAGACTATCTCTATTCCAAAACATTATAAAATACCATTTCACTAACATTTTGATATTACAGGCATGCCTGACAAAAAGGAACAAAAATAATTTCTTCTGGGTAATTATCAGATTAAGTAAATTTTATGTGAGTAAAGTGATAGAAAACCTACAGAAAAATTCGTATAAACCTACTTGTCTTCTAGGACAAGATTTTTTATTTAATTTTTTGTAACTTTTACTTCTGTATAAGTGTTGAGCATGTCTACTTTAATATATACATTGAAATAAGGGTTCTGAAGTGCAACTAATTTATTTAAATGTTTAAAATATTTGTTATTTTCATTAAAGTAATGCCTACGGATACTGATAAAAACAACACATTCCACAATAAAACAAATGGCCCATTTCAAACAGTTTAGAATATGAACATAAATTCAAAATACTAATTAAGCAAATTTCTGCTGACCAGAGCTATTTCCAAAACACTTCAAAACCGAGTCTGAAACTCATCATGCTGTTCTGCAGTTACTCAAATGAGGAGCTATATGCACTATGGTGATTTTTTTTTTTTTATTTCATGCTAGATGGGTAATGTTTTCCTGGATTAAATTTAGAAGATGGGAAAGGAAGCAAAAGATTAAAACAATGTTTTGGTGTTACCTGGTTTCATTCTCACTGTGTATTGAAGAATGGATTCATCCTTAAGTGCAACTGTTACTTCGAGCATTCAGCAACATCTCTAATAAGGTAAAGAGGATTTCCTTTCTGTTTTAGAAGAGAAATTAAAACAGTGCCTATAATAGGGGTTTTTTTCTGGTGGAAGAATAAAGTATCCAGGCTTTTTTTCCCCCGATGGCAATGAATTATGCATGCATTCAAGGACTATTATTACTCCCTTTAGAAAAAGGGAGGTACAGTCCAAAGTGCATACACTTTACTATCCAAGATAAACGAGGCTATTGGAGTGGGAAAAAATCCAAGAGAAGGCTATTTGTTATGTCTGTGTTACATAAGAGGAGCAAAGTCCAATCATGGTGCTTATCCTTAACCATATTAATTCTGCTCAGGTTTGAATAATTTTTCAGAGGAGTAGACACAAACTGGGAACAACGTTTCACGGTATGTCAGTTTTTTTGTTTTGTTTTGTTTTTAAATCAGAGATATTTTATAAATTCACTGATAACTAAAACAAAATACAATTAACCACATATTCTTTTAAATAAACATTTATTTTTAAATTTATTTTGTATATCTGTGCTGAATTGCAGAAAATGTTATTCTTATATCATTCAAATGAAATTAAATGAATGACAGAGTTATCAAATGGATAAATGTAGAATATAAATGTTTGTAAGGAAACTCCAAACTTCTGGACTTCTTTCAATATGCTTACATTTTTGCAATATATGATGACAACTTTACTGATTGTAATAAGTATCCATCTTTTTCTTCCAAACAAATGAATGTTGAGATTTCTGTCATCAGCTTAAGATTGTGTATTTCTCAGTAAAATATTATTATACAGGAAACTATCTTCAATAAATTTACAATGCATTCTGAAGATGAAAAGAAGTATACTGCAGATGGAAATAGTCATGAGATCGCTGCATCCAGCCAGGATCATGAATCTGAAGACAAACAGTAAGTATTCTTATATATAGTAGACATTCTGTACTGAAGCTTATTAGACTTTATTACTTTGGTTTATATTTTATTGAATTTCATATTTTAAATATTATTTTATCTTATTTTGCTAGGAAAACCTAGTAAGAGAAAGCTTTTTATCAACATAAGAGTAGCATTGATTGGCACATTTATTTCATGTAAAAGGACTATTTATTTTTTCCTTTTAAGGACTAAGTGTGCACAATATTGACTAGAAAAACAATTCTAAAATATGACAGAAATTATGTTGGAATGGAAATATTGGATACATTTATGTCATCTGCTAAAAATTATCTTAATATTTTTCATATGGCAGTGAATCAACATTACACGATGTAGGAAAGCTTTCCTCTCTTCTGTTTTGAAATATATACAGCTCTTTAGTTCACAACTTCCCTGACGAGATAGTGGAACCACCAACCCCATTGCTGTTGTTTCATCCTTGAAGGGGTGAACTGGGAAGAACATTACTTAAATTTACAGAAGTTAGGAGGTGATGCTACTTATATTGCTGAAGATTTAAATAGAAATATCTCAAGAATGCTCAATAAATTATGTTGATTTTACACAACTGTTTTCTGTAAAATGATTTCATAATTATAATTGAACTACATTAATATGTTGAATTTGTATTTCTGTAAAATGTGGTCCATTTATAAATTCACTAAAACTACCACACTTTTTTTAGCAAGGAAAAGAAGAAGAAGAAGAAAAAGGAAAAACCTAAGATGGTCAGCCCATTTACACTGGTAAGGTTTATTCTCTCTATATGTGTGTATGTATATGTACACCCTGGCACATTTCAAAATGCGATCAAAAATAGTTACAATTATGTTAGTATCCTGCATATGTGATGGTGTCTCTACCAAATATGTTCATTCTACAGATTATTTGCTATAGGATAGAAATCAAGCAGGTCTTTTTGTGGATGCAGTTATACTAAAAAAGCTGTGTTGTTACAGATGAGGATTCTTAGGAGTGTTCCCTTTGTAATTTATCATCCTTAACACACCCATACCAGATATTTGTTTGTGAAAGATAGGAATTTCCATGTTCAGTCATTTCTTCTGACACAGTGAGAAGGGTAGCCATATACCTACAATGAGTGTGGTGTTGTCCTCTAAATTACCAGAGTCAGGTACTAATCACACTAATTATCACCATGAGTATTCAATCAGCTGAGTCAGCAGTAAAGGACAATTCCATGCCACTGATGAAAATCAAAATTCAGAATTGTATGCTAAAAGGTTCAGATTATTTAGATTTTTTTTACATGTTTTTTTAAAAGACAATCTTTTAATATTTAATCAAGTAAATCGTAGGTTCTCTTTTGGTCATACTGAAATATTTTGTATTTTGTAGGTTTAGTGTGTGTAATACACAGCAATGACATTGCAAATAACAGACATAAAACTACAGTACATGATGATGGCCAGTGTCCAATTTCTTTGCTTTGCTATATCAGTTTACACTTGTATAATTACATCATACAACTATAATTTACATCAGTAAACATAGTATTTTACAGTACATAATAAAGCCAATGATTTTGTAATAGATAAGCTCAAACTTTATTAAGTTCAATGGCAAGAGGATTTAAGATTTCAATACATTTTTAGGATGTCTATGGTACATTAGGAACACTTTTTCTAATGGCATAATAATGAATTTACAGTAAAAGCAATTATTGCCTTAGTTATCAGTAAAGCTTCTTATAATTTGAACTTTAAAAGGCAAAATTAAAAACTGTGAATTTCTTATGAGTTGTTTTCCTATGGACTTTCTTACCCAGGTGCAGATACTAGTGCATTAAAATGGCACATCTCTCTGGTTTTGATAGTTTATAATATAAAAGTGCTTATATAGAAAGAATTTATTCCTGTACATTTAAATTGTTTTTAAACTGTATTTCTAAGGAGATAAAGTTGTAGTTTTGCAACAGCAGGCATACAATTGATGGTTTTTCTTTATTTTCTTGACTCTGTAGACACGGAATTGTGTTAGCATTCTAATATAAGAGTTACAATGAATTTCTCTTCTCACTCACAGTTTCGATACTCCAGCTGGTCAGATAAATCATTAATGATACTAGGCACTCTGATGGCAGTAGCCCATGGAAGCAGTCTTCCTATTGCGATGATAATTTTTGGTGATATGACTGATAGTTTTGTTGCTTCTGAAGGAAGAAATGATACAGGTAAGATATTATCTGCTATGACAAGAACAATGGCTCATATTTTAAAAAGAGATAGGAAGATTCATGCATCTTGACAGGAGATACTGATGTCAGAAACCACAATGCTACACTACGATGCAAATTAGTAGCTCATGTTCCTTTTAACAGAGATAAATTATGGTTGGGGTGACATTGTAGTGGGGGTCTCCTAGAGGCTGCCTGTCCAGGAAGATTGAGCAGATGAGGTTCCTCTATAGACAGATGGGAGCAGCCTTGCATTCACAAGCCCTGGTCCTCACGGGGGTCTGCAACCTCCTCAATAACTGCTGGAGGAACACCACTGGGCAATCCAGGAGGTTCGTGGACTGTGTTGATGGTAACTTCTTCAAATGATAGAGGAGCCAGTGAAGAGAGGTGCTATGCTGGACCTTGTTTTTTCTAAAAAGGAGGGACTGGTGGGGAATCTGAATCTCAAGGGCAGACTGGGCTGCAGTGGCCATGAAATGCTGGAGTTTAAGAGCAGCAAGGAGAGAGGACAGCAAGATCAGTATCTAAAACCTCAGTAGAGCAGACTGGGACCTCTTCAAGGACCTGCTTGATAGCGTACCATGGGATAAAGCCTTGGAGGGAAGAGGGAAGAAGTCAGGCAGAAACACCAGGAGACCTGCATGGATGAACAAGGAGACAAACCCAAACGCAATAAGCAAGCCTGGAGAGGGTGGAAAGGAGGAAAGGTAGCTTGGGAGGAATACAGAGTACCTGTCCAAGCAGCCAGGGATCAGGTTAGGAAAGCTAAAGCCCCCATAGAATTAAATCTGACCAGGGATGTCAAGAGCAACAAGAAAAGCTTCTATAGGTAGGTCAGTGATCAAAGGAAGATGAGAGAAAATGCGGAGCCTCTCCAGAAGGAAATGGGAGACTTGGTTACTTGAGATATCGAAAAGGCTGAAGGACCTTTTTCTCAGTCTTCACTGGCAAATGTTGCAGGTGCACTGCCCAAATCACAGAAGGGAAAGGTGGGGGCTGGGAGAATGAAGACCTGCCTGCTGTAGGAGAAGGTCAGGTTTGAGAATATCTAAGGTATCTGGAGGTGCACAGGAACATGAGACTTGATGAGATGCATCTGTGGGGCCTGAGGGAACTGGTGGAGGGAGTTGCTAAGCCACTGTCCATAGTATTTGAGATGTCATAGCAATCTGATGAAGTTCCACTGACTGAAAAAGTGGGAAACATAACTCTCATTTTTTAAAAAGGGAAAAAGGAAGACGCAGGGAACTCCAAGCCAATCAATCTCACCTCTGTACCCGGCAAGATCATGAAGCAGATCCTCCTGGAAACTATGCTAAGGCACATGTAATATAAGGAAATGATTGATGTTCATCAACATGACTTTTTTAGGGACAAATAATGCCTCACAAATTTGAAGGCATTTTACAACTGGATTACAGATTTGGTGTGTAAGGAAGAGCTTGGACATCATGTGCCTGGACTATCTGAAAAGCATTTGACACTGTCCCAGTCGACATCTTTGTCACTAAATTGGAGAAGCATGAGTTTGATGGATGGAACACTTGGTGGATAAGAAGTTGACTGGAGGGTCACACTCACAGTTGGCCAAGTGGAGACCAATGATGAGTGGGTTCTTCAGGGGTCGGTATTGGGACTGACACTGTTTAACAGCTTTGTCAATGACATGGACAGTGGGATCAATACACCCTCAGCAAGTTTGCCAATGACACCAAGGAGGGCCACGAATATGATCAGAGGGCTGAAGCAACTCCCTTATGAGGACAGGCTGAGCAAGCTGGGGCTGTTCACTCTGCAGAAAATTCCTAGGAGACCTTATAGCAGCCTTTCAGTACCTGAAATAGGGCTACAAGAAAGCAGGAGAATGA